GGAGAAGACTTTTCTTGACGAATACTTTCCCGCTTCTGTTTACATTTGCAAAAGATATGACATTGTGAATTTTAAGTAGAAATATGGTGAGTCGCTGGGTGATGCCTATAAGAGATTCAAGAGGTTCTTGGTACCTTGTCCAACTCACAACATGAACCAAACGGAACAAATGCATATGTTTGTGAATGGCCTAAGAATGAAGAGAAAGCAACTTATTGATACAGCTACCAGTGGCTCATCCAACTTTACAACAACCACTGGTGTGAAGAAGATTATTAAAGTCTTTGTTGTAAATGAACATCTGGATCTATATGACAGAGTTGCAAGCAAACCAGAGGGAGTGATTGATTTGAAGTTGGAAGTGAATAAGCAACTAAAAATTGAAGAGGCTATTGTTGCATAAATGGAGAAAAAGCTTAAAGTAATGAACATGGGTACTCAACAGGTAGCTCAAATTCAACAGACACACAAGGTAGGTTGTGAAATATGCAGTGGGCCTCACATGACTGTCCGTTGTCTTGCAACTCCACAACAAATTGAGGAGATAAAATTTTTGAAGAAAAATAATCCGTATTCTAACGCTTATAATCTTGGGTGGAAGAATCATTCTAACTTCTCCTGGAAAGATCAACAACAATAAGCTCTACAAAAAGCAGAATGAGAGGTGGCTATTGAAAATATGGCTGCCCACGCCTCTCAATTTTAAGAAGAGACAAGGAGTAATTACAGGAATACCACAACTGCAATAAAAAATTTAGAAGTTCAAATGGGACATATTGCACAACAGGTAGCACTGCAAGCACAAGAAAATCAGAAAAATCATGAGAATGTTAATGTTGTCACAACAAGGAATGAGAAAGATGCTGAAGAAAATAAATATGACGTAAAATTTGATGATAGTATCATAGAAACAGATCTGAAAGTGAGAGAGAACAAGAGAAACCAAGAAGAAGTGGTATCACCTGTGAAGCCAGTTGAAGAGTAAAACTAAACCAGCGATCAAGTTTCCGTATCCATCTCGAGTGGCAAAGAAGGACACAAAATGAAAAAAGTTTGATAAATTTGTCCAGTTGTTTAAAAAGCTAGAAATCAATATACCATTCTTTGAAACACTCGATAAAATGCCTTTGTATCAGAAATTCATGAATGGCGTATCATCAAAGAAGAGATCAACAAGAGAGGGATTGGTACCTTGTGATGAGAAATTGTGTGTAATTTCACCCGAGAGGAAAATACCTGTCAAGCAGAAGGATCCGGGGTCAGTTACAATACCATGCACCATAAAAGACAGAACTTTCAAGAGGGTTCTGATTGATTCGGACTCTAGTGTGAGTTTAATGCCATTATAGATTTTTAAGAAGTTCGGTATTGAGAAGATAAGCGGGAGTGAGATAAAATTGAAATTTGATGATCACACCATCAAGCAGTCATATAGGATAGTTGAAGATGTATGAGTAGAAATTGACAATTTTGTTTTCTCAGTTGATTTTTCAGATCATGGATATACCTAGAGATGAAGATACTCTTATCATTCTTGGTCGACCATTTATCCTGATTAATCGATGCAATTTTGATATCGAGATAGATAATCTGACACTGAAATCATTTGATGAGGAGATAACTTTAAAGGCGTTGGAGATCAAAAAGTAGGGTGCAGGTGAAAAGAATCAAGCTTCAGCTGGTATGATCAAATTAGCAAGAGACAACATAAGTTTGAAACCACCCCCAAAAAAAGTCTCCAACATAAGCTCTCAAGTGGCATCAGCTCCAACGCCTGTCAAAATTCCTAAGTTCATTCAAAAATTCAATAAGAAAAAGAAAAAGGAACATCAAGGATTAGAGCTAGAAGATGGGAGCGACTTGAGGCAAGGAGTGATTCATACTTATGATGTGTTGCAGAAATGGAATGTAACAAGGTGTGCAAGAGGAGATACCTCCATAAGGGGATTAATCGTCGAGCCATACGACTTAAATGAATCCCTTTATGGGAGGTAACCCACGCTTTTAATAACTTAGGTTTTCTTCTTGTGTTTGTTTCATTTTGTCTGTAGGTAATAAAAAAGGAGCCTTGCTGGTGAAATCTAGGAGGCAGGAGCTAGTGTTGCATTACACTCTGTGAGTCACCTTCTCGAGCTTATTCTGAAACATTGGGGGTAAATGTTTAGTTCAACTTTGGGGGGGTTTTGATGATTTTGTTTTCGAGTTATTTTGTTGGTTCTTTGCTAATTGTGGTGTAAATCCACGAGTTGAAGTCCTTCCCAAATTTGGACCAAACTTTTGTGTTGTTTTGCTCAAGAATTTATATTTCAGAGATCAGGAATAGTATATAGAGACAAAGGGATGTTAGTTCAAGGGTAGAAAGTTCAGAATAGTGTGACAATGATACATGTCTAACATGTAGATTTGTACCATAGTGCTTGAATCCTGAGAAGTACTCCTTGAGTAGTTTATCTTTATAGTCTGGCATAATATATATTTACATGCAGGTATGATTGGTTGAGAAATAAATAAATCTAGAACCAAATGATGAAAAGAAGGTAAAAGGCAACTGGCTTGCTAAGTTGGGTAACCCTCACTAGGTTATTCAGCCCAAAGGGGGTTGATTCCCAAACGTCGTCCATAAAGGACAATATATAAACTGAAAAGTTTTGAAAATTTCATTTGAAATTAAAAAGGAGAAAAAACTCTTATTTGGTGCCTGAACAAAATTTTTATTGATTAGTTTGTGCGTGTGATGATCATAAAAAATTCCCATTGCCTTAATTTGACTGTCTGAATGAAAAAGGAGGAAAATTGGAAAAAGACTTAAGTACAAATCATAGTTAGAGAGGTATCTAAATAGGAACCTCGAGATTTACAGGTTCTTACACAAACTCTTCATGTCATATGAACATCAAATATACTACTTTTTGATCAATTTGAACGGATGTCTCACATATGAGTACCGAGTTGCTGTGATTTTCATGAGTTCTTGTAATAGTCGTTTGAGGTCAAGCAAGAATTTAAGTTTGGGGGAGTTTGCTCATTGGTTTTTCCACCTTTATTTACAATTGATATTAGTTATAATTTCTTTATTTTGTCAAGTGTTTTATTTCATTCTTATATGTTTTATGCGTTGGTTGTGTATTTTGTTGTTTTTAGGCTCAGAAGAATAAAACCAAAAAAATGAGTGCGAAAAATACAAATTCGGAGTTTTGGAGGAAGTCTCAAAAACCAAGTTATAGGGTACCTGACATGGCCACCGTGTCACGTGTTAGGAGAGAATGCACAACTGTAATTTGGGAGAAGAGGCAGAGGCTGACACGACCCGCATCAGAAGGTCTGGGCGAGAGGTTTTGTTGTAGCAATCGAGAAAGGCCGACACGGGTGTCTATGTTAGGTGACACGGCCCGTGTTGGCCAGGATGCTGATTTTGAGTGTTTTTATGATTTTTTATAATTTGGGACCCATAGGGGTATTTTGAGTATTTTTGACCGAGACAAATGCATGTGCACTATTTAGATGAGTTTTGAAGAAGAATTAGGGACCTTTTGTCGCAGAGAACGAATTCCAGAGTCTAGGAGTGAGGATATGGGATTCTTGAAGAACAAAGATCTTTCATGAGAGGACGCTATTAAAGACCAAAGTTCCTTCATCATATGTAATGTCTAATTTTTATATTTTTGTAATTCTCGTGAACAATATGAACGGCTAAATCCCCCAATGTTAGGGGGTGTCCCTGATTTGAATCTGTAATGATTATGAATTTCTGAGTTCTTTAATAAAGTTGTTTTTTTATTTAATTTAATCATGCAATATTTTTATGCTTTCCTGATCGGACCAATTAGGATTGATTCACAGTTAACAACCAGTTGGACCACAATTGTTAAGGTTTTTGTACGAATAGACTATTGTAGATATCCACCTAGGACTAGGGATACCATGTAGTTACCCGATAACTCTTGATAAAATAAAGGCTTGACTCCATCAGATATCTCTAAGAACTTAGGATTTAGGATGGATGGTTAAAAGTTTTCTCACTAAGGACTCGGGAAAATAATCTAAAGGGATGGTAGTTGAATGTTATGAACTTGTTGAAGAAATCAAGATTCAATGTCGTTATAGGACAAATTACACACCATACCCTAGCATGTTCATCATATCTGTGAAAAAGCATATTTATATTTCTGCTTATTCTTAAGTGACAATTTCTAAAATCAAATCTCCAAGTTAAAATTTTGTTTAATTGAACGTGAATTGAACTCGATAATTGTACGCAGTCCTTAAGATCGACATTCAGGAAATTTCTCTATTATTACAAGAGACAAAAATAATACACTTGCTATTTTTTCTATCAGTACCATATAAGTTTGTTCACTTTATAGTTAAATAAAAGTTTGTTAGGTTGCAGTAAAGTTTAACAAATGAGTTTAAAGAACTAACATGGTAAAACAGAAAATATACATACATTGCTTACGTAGTCATTTTAAACATAAAGGATTAGGGTCATAAGAGTAAACAAAACACATTAGACTTGAACTCTATTAGTGTTACTGTGCGACTTAGATATAAGCTCTATAGTTACTATATATTTTTACGTTGTTGACAAACACCATATAATTTAGTTTTGACCTCACCTAATACGGCACCACACATTATATATATATATATATATATATATATATATATATATATATATATATATATATATATATATATATATATATATATATATATATATATATATATATATATATATATATATATATATATATATATATATATATATATATATATATATTAGATGAATTTATGAAAGGAATCATTATCCAATATAATCCCATGCTCTATGTCAAACCCTTGTGTTTCTCTCTGATTTCCATAACTTGAATATGTGACACACTATTATTTGTTATCATAGTTCATGCATTATTTTATAAAGTTGAATATGATTTATTAAAATGTGTAATCCAATCTTCGTGGGATGATTTTTTTTTTTATCACTTACTACTAGTTTAGTTATGGATACTTATTGCACCCATCAAAGCAAAAATAGAAGAAATCAAATCTCGTTTGAATTGATGGATTTTGGTTTGTCAACATTGATCATTATGGTATTTCCAACACATATCATTTTCAAATCAACAACATACCTCCATTTCTTTACATATTGCCTATCACCATCTCTTTCAATAATTCCTTTTGCAATATCCTTATTTTCCATGCTCTGCTTGAAGTAGTCTTAAATGAATAGTTTTCCCTCATGTATTGCATGATATCGAAAATTCTCACATTTTCACTTGTTTGCATTTTTTTTACCACTGCTTAGATTTGGCAGATCCATTGTTCAAAACTGTAGTATATGTGAGTTTTCACCAAAGTCTTTGATTGATAAGTGTATCTTCCACCTACTTTAGAACATAGAACTACAAACCCACATTTGCCCTTACTACCCTTACTCCATAATTTACATTTTTTGCAAATTTAATTTTTCGACTATTTAAAACAAGTCACTCAATAATTGCTTCTTTAAATTGAAATAAAGAATTAAATTCCACACAACTTGAATTCATAATCCTTACTTAGCAACCCATTCCTTCATACTAAGAATATTTTTCTTCTTCAGATTCATTTGGATCAGAGTTATCCAGTTCATCACTCAAGTATTGCTTCTCCTCTACATCTTTGCTTTTAGAAGTGACAAAAACAGGTGCAAGCACTGTTATCTTCTTTTTGGTGATAGTTTCTTTTTAAGGACTTTGAAGCATAAACTTTGATTTTATATGACTTCTCTTTGATTTCAACTCTATTGGAACCATTTTGTGGTAGATTCAATTTAACCCCTTCAAAACCATTATTGAATACTGTGGTTCTCTCATCTTCAATATCATCAAATTCACTCCTTTAGCATCATCATGGCCTTCCAAACTTCCTTCTTCATCAATTTTTCCATCCTTATTAATTTCATATAAACTATAACCTTTGTACCAAATCAAGTAAATATAAAATTATAACCATGGCAAGCAGAAGCTAAAGATTTCTTATAACATACATGAGCAAGTAAACAAGTTTTAATTGTTGTAGGCACTTGTTAGCCTAACAATTGGATAAGACTTGCACAAAGTAGTGATGAAAAACAGAAGGAAGCTTTTGAAGTTCCTTTTATTTACTCTCTTCTGCAGCATACAGAGCTTTGATTTCTTCAATATCGTCATAGCTACCCAGAAATATCGGAGATCGTTCATGCAATTTTGTTGGAATTAAATCAAGTGCCTGGTAATATACAAGATTTATCAGCTCATTGCCAAATAACTCTTTCATCATACAGCTAAAGTAAAACAACAATCATATTCATATCTGAGCACAACAAGTTTGATTAAATTTATGTGGAACTTATGGAAGATACATTACCCTTTCCTTGCCGGTGAAAGACTGTCCTCCTGCCTGTTCCAACAAGAAGGACATTGGGAAGACCTCATACAATACACTGCGTGAAAGAGGTTAAATTAAGCCATTAATTTAAGAAAATTAGACCTAATAAAAATTATATTAGCTTAAACTGAGGTTGAATTTGACATACCGAAGCTTTCCACTTGGACTCTTTTTGTCAGCAGGGTACAAAAAGACACCTCCATAAAGCAATGTGCGATGAACATCAGCTACCATGCTGTTTGAGGTACAGAAATATTATAAGTTGAAAAAAGATGTTCAAATTTATAAACTATTTTTGTAAAAGACTAATAAATGATTCAGCTCAAATTTCTGTTACTATAAAGTATTTATGTAGGACAAACTAAGACAAATATAGGTTACATTGGTTCAAATTGAACTAGATTCGGATTCTTTAAACAAGCTTTCGGGTATGAGTTTTGTAAAGGAGTAACCCAGGGCACGAGGCTCCCATTCTTTAAACAAGCTTTTGGGTTTGAGTTTTGTGGATGGAAAAAATGTAGGTGGGAAGGGGAATGAAAATATCACTAAATGTGGTCAGTTAGATTCCTCGACTGAGATTAGTCATCAGTAAAGTTGGAAGATACTTCCCACCGATAACATGATTATAAAAAAATTTAAGACAAGTATAGTTGTATAAAATATGGTCAATTCCAATTTAACCTTCTGTTGTATTTGATGCAAGTTGAATACAAGTTAATTTCATGGTTGCAATTGTGTAAGTGTGTGCTTGGATTGACGGTGAGTATGGCAAAATCACTACGAGTCACCGGGAATTTTGGCTAAAGCTACACTTCAAAGCTTCAACAAATCATTGTGACTCGTAGTAATTTTGACAAACTCACCGAAGCCAAACAAACACTACGAAGATGATTAAAACAAGGGCAGTAAGCAAAATAAAACTCCTTAAAGGGTTGAGAATATATGAAACCTTCCGATATATCTTAGAGACTTTGCTGATGAACCATCTGTGGGAAACTTGCATTTCTCCACATAACTGAAGTAACAAAATGAATCACAACATTGTCAAAATTTTCACTTTAGTGCTTGAAAACATTTTAACATAACTGAACGCATGCATACGTACGCGGCAGTAGGGCCATCCCAGTTCTTGGCATTCCCTTCATTCACAGAATAAATCTTGCCTTTCTTTGGGATCTGTGCAGAGAGTCACACATCAAACCATTAACACAAATGGTGTAGATATATAGGTCATGTCAATCATCTTTCTTTATTTAGATTTAATCATGTAAGTAGTTATTAAATATTATCCAACATTTGGCGGTTGTTGAGAAGCCAACTAATACAGAAAAAAATTATGATGGACCACTATGATACGTGGTCCATCATAAGACAGAGACCTAATCGGCGCCAATTCAAACAAAAAGGAAAAATGAATGTCTGCCTCAGAACTCAACTCATTTGTTTTTTCTTGTTTTTGATGAATTAGCGGCGATCAGGTCTATGTCTCAACTGTAAGGATAAAGAGGACAGCAGAGTAATACCTTAATGTCAGGGTGAGTTAGGATGAATTCACCAAGAGAAGGGTCAAGGGTGAAACCATTGACACCACTTCCGGTGCTTATTACAAGCTGCAAATCAATAGATCTCAAATTGTCATGGAGTAATAAAGCATTGTGATTTTAGAATGAAGACATAGAAAGTCATGAGCAATGAACAAGGATACAAGTTTATGAAAATTATACCGTGCAAGAGCTTCCATACATGCAATAACCAGCTGCCAACATGTTCTTCCCAGGTTGCAGGACATCTTCTATGACTGGTTCATGGTTATCTTGCATCATATAAATCCCAAAAATCTACAACATACTCAATTGACACCAGCATTATTCGGTTAGAATTGAATATACAATCTTCTACACACAACCACAAAAACAATAAAAAAAAGATAGTAGAAGAACAAATCTATGAAGCATTGGCACAAATAGTGTTCGACATCTCTAATAATTTGATAGAGTGACAATAATTGAATGTCGCCACATATGTTGTGTCGTGCTGATGTTGAACATTGACACGTGTCATACACCAGACACACCTTCAGTGTGAAGTGTCGTGCCGATGTTGAACATTGACACGTGTCATACACCAGACACACCTTCAGTGTGAAGTGTCGGTGCTACGTAGGAACAAATTGCAAGAAATTAAGTAGGGAATAGGGATCACACAGTTCCAATGGAAACACCACAATCAATGTTGGAGGAGCCATCCAGTGGATCAAAAACAACACAGTACCTGAATCATAAAAATTGAAAGTCCACATTAACAAATCAAACTCCAAGATCAAAGTTAGACTTCTCCCTAGAAGGTTCTAAACTGGGGACATCATGTCGCAACACGATTCTTGATAACGTGAAAAATACAAGTAAATACAACTGATGTAGTCACAACTTTGTTCACAGTGCAAAAACAAAACTTCTAAAACTTTAATGATGTGGTCACAATTATAGGCGCATATTGCAATTCAATCAAAACCTTGATTAAAGAAGAATCCAGTGGCTACAATGCAACCATGATAAAATCACTACTACAATTTAAAACCTTCTTAGAGAGTATATGGAAAAAATTGACAATGCTAAAGAGAGTGAACAACTTTCCACGTAGCGAAGGCTCCACAAATATTGCCTCCTCATCTTCTTCAGAAACCAAGATGGACTGTTAAAACATCATACCATCATCATAAGCCATAAAACACACTTTTCAATATACTGTAAAAATTAATTAATCACTTACTGTTCTGCCACTGCTTTTCAAAGCCTTGATGAACACATCATTGGAAAGAACATCCAGCTTCTTCTGTTCTTCACCCTTTATTCCAAACAATAAACAAACATAAAGAAAGTTTACTATGGTCTCTAAATTGATAATTTTACACTAAGTTATAAGTAAAATTTGATTTTAGAGTAAAGTTATTTAGACAAGAACTATTTCACTGCAAACTTTTAATCAAACCAAAGTTATATAATCCAGTTCTTTAAAAAACACTTTCAGTGAACCCTGGTCCAACCACAAATTAAGTTATTTTCACTTTTAATGATAAAAATGTCACCAACCATGTTTTTTCTTCTTCCTGATATTATAAAGAGTTTGGTCCCTTTAAATATCTTAAATTTCGTTTTTAGTCATTTTAAATTTTTCCTTCAAAGAATGATCCTCCTAAAAAAATTAAATTTTAATTTTTGGTCTCATTTTAACTTTTGGTCTCTCCTAACTAGGCATGGCAATCAGGCGGATCGGGGACAGTTTTTACCTTCCCCAAACCCAAACCCGAATCCCCAACCAATCCCCGTTACCCGCCACAAACCCAAACGGGGATGCAGAATTAAAACTCAAACTCGTCTCAAACGGGTTCGGGTATCCCCACCCCACCACCATCCATTTAGTAAAATCAATTTTTTAAATAGAAATTTTATTTTTTCCAAAATCAAATTACATTATAAATGATAAAATAAAACAATCTCAAAAAATTCCATATATACATTTTAAATATTTTAAATAATAAATACAAATCAAATTACCAAAATATTTGTCACATATTTAATATTCTAAATTATCAAAAAGAAATAATAATGTATATAATGAAATAAACGGGGTGGGTTCGAATGCGGGTTTGAGGTGGGTATTAGTGTCCCCATTACCCGACTCGTCCCCATATTTTATAATCGGGGAAAACCCAAACCCGAAACCAAATCCAGTCGACACGGATTTACTCCGTCAATTTCGAGGCGGGTTCGGGTGGATACCCGCGGATATGGATTTTGTTGCCATGCCTACTCCTCACAAAATCGTAGCTAAAACCGTCGCTAAAATCATCGCTAAAACCGTCGCTAAAATCATCGTTAAGTTGTAAAAACCGTCGCTAAATTGCAGGAGAGATCAAAAGTTAAAATTTAACTTTTTAGAAGAACCATTATTTAAAAGAAAATTTTTGAGAGACTAAAAACGAAATTTAAAATATTTAAAGTGACCAAAAACCCTATTATAAATAACCTCACATAATTTATAACTAAAATAATAGCAATAAATAAAAAGACATATACTCATAAGTGGCTTGGGAAACACTTACCTGTACATTAGTCTCTCCAGCAAGTCCAATGAGTTTAGCAAGACCAGCCTGCGCATATAACAAAATCTCATAATATAATATATCGAATATTTCATTACCATCATCATCATAACTATAAATTTCAGCTGCAGTCACAATTCAACTATTTCAACCTTAATGTCGCAATCAAGACTATGAAAAATGGTGTGGTTGCGAATTAAAGTTCTTCAAATCTCTTTATCCAACCGCAATTTTAATAGCATTGGCCATATATGACTTCAAATCAACCACAATTAAAATCTTAGTTGCAAATTGTTTTTTGTTACTATTATTTGTCAACAAACGTTTTGATCATAGATCTAAATTGATGTCGGTCTGAAACCAGAATTGGAATATTAATATAAAAGATTTAAAGGTCTCCCCATCAGCATCCCAACAGCAACTGTATCGGTAGGATAGATTTGCAACTACCCACAATCAAATGCAAGCACAATTTAAAACCACTTCTTTACTCTAACCAGAGTTTAGACCATATCAAAAAGAATTTAGTACATGTATCACGGTGAGTTGTCAGAATCATAATTAGTAGCTTTTAGTTAAAAGTGAGGTGAATGTAAGGTATGTTTGGTTCTGCATTGAATAAAATTGATTTTGAATAAATTGATTTTGAATAAATTAATTATGTAAAAATGAATTGAATGTAAAGTGATTTATGTTTGTATAGTTTTAGTAAAATTGAGTTGAACAGTAAATTCTATTTTGAAGAATCAAATACTTCAAAATTATTCTAAAATCATTTCTACACTTTTAGAATTGTTTTTTCTCTTCCAAAAACTAAATCAAACATACATGCAAAGTGATTTATGTTTTATAAATTTATGTAAAAGTGAATTCAACATCTAAAAATGACGTTTAAACTCAAACACTACAAATCTCAACTTCAAATAAAATCAAGGATAGCATAAGCAGTTATGCTCAGGAACAACCAAACACGTCAGAATTAATTTTCGACACTCAAATCAATTTTTCATACTCTGAAACGTGAAACTAAACAATAACAAAGTGAATTCGCAAAAATCAGTTACTCTAACAAATCATCCACCATAATACCTAACACGCATTCAATCAATCGCTATTCCACCGAATCCACCGTGATACCTAACATGCACTGATTCGTTATTCTCCACAATATCAAAGATTACTCACGCAACAGCAAAATGAAAAGTTGATAATAACAACAACAACATTACTATAATTGCTACAACAACTGCTACAAAAAATTCACGAATAATAACGAAATTTCAGAGAAGAGAAAGAAAAATCGAGAGAGGACCTTGTTAACAGCTGAGCAAACGAATTTGCATCCAAGAACAATGTGACTGAGCAAGATGGTGAAATCGCCGCGAGATTCAGGGTGCTTTGATTGTTCGTTGAGAACGAAACGGGTTATGGTCATCAAATCGGTGCGTTGTGCATCGGCGATGTGGTCCATTTCGGATTCGTATTCAGTTCAATACTGTAACCGTTTCAATGGATGAATGAAATGAATGAATCGTAACAGAAAGTGATCACATATATATGCGTGCGCGCGTGCGTCCTCGTTTATATTGCTATTTAATTTTCCATCTTGACCACAATAAATAAATAAATAAATTATCAAGAATAGGTGATGGGAGAAGAAGGAGAAAAGGATGGGGCTATCAGCTTGATGAAATGACACATGGCATTAACAGAATCAAATAACCACTCGTGGCTGGTGTGTCGGATAACGATTTCGATACAACAATTTTCGTCTTTCTCTTTGGACTCTGTATGTGTGGCTTATTTGTACTTCCCTTTTTGTTTTTGAGGCAAAGTTAACGGTTGCAGCTTTTTGTTATTTTTCACTTTTATTTTTATATATTCTTTTGGATATACTATTCCCACCAATCATATATATTTTATTTCTTTTGTATGATTTTTTTTTTTAAATTAATTGTTTGGGAACTTGAGCATCATACGACTTTCAAGAAATTTTCAAAAAGAAACTTTTTATAAAGGAAGAAGAGTTATAACACCTCATTTTTAATTAAATTATTTTAATTGATTTATTTGTGAATTTTGGGTGATTTATTTAATTATTATGTTGGTGTGGTTAAATGAATAGGAAGTTTGGGTGTGCATGCCCATGAGTTCGGAGTATGGAGAGAGAGTTACAGGTGGATACAAATAATTTAGAATTATTTTAATAATTAAAATAATAATTGTTTTTGATTTATTAAATATAAAGGGTTAAATGTATTCTACTCTTGTTATATTAGTGTGTTTTGATTTATTCACTTAAATTTTTTTTTTTTATGATTCTCCCCTTATAAAATACATATTCTTTTTCCACTAACCACTGCGCCATATGTTTTGTTGTTGTAAATAATTAGCTCAAAATTAATTAATATCATAATCATTTAATCTTCTTCTCCAATTTCAAATCCCTAAACTTCCTTCCATCTTCTTCTACAAATTTAGGGACAGCCCTGCAGTACCAAATTTATGGGAGACTGAGAAATGGAAGGAAGTTTAGGGATTTGAAAATGGAGAAGAAGATTAAATGATTTTGATATTAATTAATTTTGAGGTAATTATTTTTAACAACAAAGCACATGGCGCAATGGTTGCATGTTTGACAAATAATGGAAGGCTCCTAGGTTCGGATCCTTGGAGGGCCAATTTTTTAATATTTTTTCATATGAATTTCAAAGAATATTGATATGTCACTAATTAAAAAAAAATTCCACATGGGCGCCACATATGAAGATTCCAATGCACAGTAAGCCAAAAGGGTGTCTGGAAAAGGAACCTGTATTTTATAAGGGGGGAATCACAAAAAAAATTCTTAGGAGGGGATAAATCAAAACACACTAATATGGAAGGGGGTAGAATGCATTTAACCCTAATAAAAAATGAGGAAATAAAGAATTTGGGCCAAAACTGAAAAATACGAGAACTAGAAGAAATAAAGAATTTCAGTCAAAATTGGAAAAATAAGAGAAATAGAAGGGAGGAAGGAGGGAGAGAGGATTAAGTGAGGGGGAAAATTATAATTTTAAATAGATTAATAATCTAACTATTTAAGGTTAAGCATAATCCAAGTTTAGAGAACCCTAATTCTGATCAGTACGTAGCTACCAAAGTTGAGGCAAAGAAAGACAAGTGGAAGGCTAGAGGTTGAAGGTAGAAACATCAATCAAAACCAAAATCAATTAGCATTAGGAAAATCAGGTAAGGGTGATAACTATTTCTTTAACGGGTATATGCATGAAGGATAGAATGAGGTGTCCTTAACCTCCAATAGGTTTTGTGTCATTATGTATGCTTTGTTGTGGTTAGATGTAAATCTTAAAATTGGTGATCAATTGATGTTGTACTCTGTTTTTCATGATGAAAATCATATGAATTGTTAGGTGAATAATATTGTGATGTTCTATGTCGGGATATATTCCATTATTGAGTTTTAAAGATTTTGGAATCATGATAAAAGTGATAAATAATTAATAATTATGCATGTTAATTGATAACTATAGGTTAATGGATGTTAATATGTGGATTCTTTGTTGTATTCTGATCGATTTGAGTGCCTGAAATGAAAAATCAGAGTTTTGAACTGAACTCCACAATAAAAAATGCAATTCTGGAGGTCGATGGCTTGTGCCGTCGGCATGACAACCAGGTAGTCATGGCTCTTGGAGGCACTGGCAGGCATCAGCTTCCTGGCGCTATACTGTTATGGTTTGAGGGTTGGTAACAGGCGCTACACTAGCGACGGATAGTTCGTCATGCTGCCAGTGAGGGCGTAATTCGCCCAATTGCTAGAATTAATTGTCGTCTTTGATTTTTCTGAGTTTGTTGATTGTTGGCCTACTGTTTGATGTTGTTTTGATGTAACTTGATAATTAACCATGCGTTTTCATCGATTTAATGAGTTCATTGATAAATGATGAATTACATTGTGTGGTGCGAACAATGAATGTTATGTTGATGATTGTTGAGGTTAAATGTTGTTGTCTCTTTATATGTTTTCCTATCATGATTATGTTGTTGGCATTATTGGTGTGGTGCACAATCACAACAGGGGCCATATATGCATGCATTTAAGTGCATGTTGTTGAGTCATGCATTCAGGGTTTATGAACTTCAGTTCAGTTTTGTTGTGCTCTGGTCCTATGATGGAGATCGGGAGCGAGTAGCTGGTTCTAGTGGGAAACAGTGAAGCGTTACATCTGGTGATTGTAGAGATTTTAGTGTGCTCCAGTTCCAAGAGAGAATTTGATCCTATGGTGGGGATCAGGGAGCGAGATGGACTCGTGTTGTTCAAGATTTTTTTTCCAATATCAACATTTTGAAGTCATATTAATCAATTGATCAAGTTTGGATCACAATGTCTCAATAAAAGCACTCAAATCATTAAAGGGGCAAAATTGTCAAAATTAGGGTTTTGATTGAGAATGACTGATTTTTGACTTTTGCCATAATACATGATCTAATAACTTGAAGCATAATCTTAAGGACTCAAATACATCATTTTGACCTAATTGTATGACTCAATTCATTTCTCAAAGATCAAACAGTTGATAGTTGAAATTTGGTCAACTGATGAAAAGTCAACTGAGACACCAAAAGTCAAACTTTGACTTTTTGATCAACATTGAATTTCAAAGATCAAAATCCATCAAGATATGCAAAAATATGAAGCTTGATCATCAAGAATCAAATAGTCAAGAAAAATGCTTAGATTTACAACTTCATGAGAGTTGTAGATCTTGATGAGATCTACAACTTTGTATTAGATGGCTCATATCCAAAAAATGCTTAGATTTTGAGTTATAAGCCCATGAAGTCATGCACTTTTTCTTAAACACTTAGTGAAATTTTGACCTAGTTTAGACAGATTTTTGTCCCAACTTCTTGGCCATTTTTACATAGTTCCAATTGGATTTTACAAAAGTGGAAAACATGAAAGTTGTAGAGGATATTTCAAGCTTTCCAAAATGTCCAATAACTTGAAGAAATCATTTTTGAGCTAGGAGAATCGAAGAGAAGAAGTTGGCATGATAAACTGGAATTACAAGGCACTTTCATGAAGAACACATAACCTAATCCCATAGCTGTGCTGCATAATCTTGTTTTGCAGGCCTTCTAACTTGCAAATCACTCCATAATTAAATGTTTACAAAATTGATTGAGCTATTATCCAAGTGTTTGAGCCATTGTCCAAGACAATTTTCTCTTTTTGGCACAAAGTTGCCATTTCCATTCTTGTAAAGCAAGCTTTATGCATAAGTCAATGCATTGAGCCTCTCACTTGTTTCTTCTGATCACACTCCATTATAAAGTGAAGAAGAAACCTCCCTGCACCCAACAAACTTAGACCATGCTTGTACTTGAACCTTGGAACTATGAAAATCCATTCAACTTGATTTCTCATTTTCAACCAAACCATAACATATTATCTCAAAATTCTGGTTACTTCAAGATGTCAAACCTCTTGCCTATAAATAGAGAGGTCATTTGAAACCTAACACGCGAATTCAAGAGCCCTAAAACTCACTCAAACTCCCTAGAACTCAGAGCTGCATCCAAGCCTCCATAACTTGTCATTTCTGGCCAAAAACTTCAATCTCATTATCCACTTGTGCGTTTTCCCTCTAAATCATTCTCAAAGCTTATATACATCAAATATAATCCATACCAACACTTGTTACAGTTCTGTAACTCCATTTTCATATTCTTCCAAACTCAAAACCATAATCCAGAACATTGACTTCTACAAGGAGTTTCAACCACTCTCAACTCAAGCTAAGCACTGCATTAGCTTCCTAGAAGTCCAGGGAAGCTAACTAGATCATTGCAGCACCTTGAAGCAAGCTCAAACTCAAAACACGAATTCCATTTTCAAGGTGATTTTTCTGACTTTTGAACTCTTCATATAGGCATCATTTGCTTTCCATTTTCAAAGATAAAATGTAGACCTCATAGTCTTGAAACTGACCATGTCCTTAGAATTCATTTATATTGCTTGAGTAGATAGAATTTTGAAGATGAACTTTATGAAAAAATTAGGTTTTTATTCGGTACCAGTAAAATTCTCATTCATCTTTGATTTATAGCTCATGAACTTTATATGGTTGAATTCATATTGAAAAATAGAGCAAGTTTCATGTTTACATTTTCTGATTTGGTTGAGAAATGAGGAAGTTACAAATTTAAAAATGGTGATGAATAGGCTAGTGCAAGGTTGAAGATGAAGTCACATTCAGGACTTGGTTTATTTTAAATTTAATGATTGTTGTTCTATACACGGATGAAACAGTCACCCTAGTGGCAGGAGAAGCGCGCGTAAGGCATTACCATATAAGGTCCTGGGTTCGAACCCCAGGGACCTTTTGTTTTATTTTATAACATTTCTTTGTTTCACTCAATATCATATCAATTTTCATGGATTCATTTGATTTTTCATGA